TTTCAACTTTTCATTATGAAATCTTTTACAACATGCAAAAAACCTCCGATATTGTAAATATAAATGACGTGGGGAAATTTTAAAAAAGTATATTATGTAAGTTTTGAAAAAAACATAGAATACATTAACTTGTCGTGTAATGTGTGCTTTCATGTTATGTTATTTTGTGTGTTTACGACCATCCGCTCAAAAAAATTTAAAAAGAATATTTGGAGCTCTTTTGAGAAAATTTGTTTTTTTTAACGTTTTTATTGCTATATTTCTCTCACAATTTCGCGAAAACTACTATTTAAAAAGAGGATGTGCTACAACTCATAAATTAAATAACTAATTGTGTTTAATTAAAAACTATCAATCTTCAGTATTGTATTTGCATGAAGAGGTTCACAAATTTCAAACTTAATCAATATACAAAAATTCAGGGGTCATTGAGAAAATCGGAGGATTGCTATCTTCACAGGTCAGAAGACAGTGCTGAGTAAAACTGAGTTGACGAAGATGACATTAATTATTTCAATCTTGAATAATGTCAAGATCTTCTCATCAGCATCCCCACAACAACAATCGGCCATTTTTGTGGAAAAATGTTCCATGGGCTTCATGTAATATACCCTCAAAATTTAAAGAACTCTTTTCAAAGTCGTAGGGTTATCAACCGGACCAAGACACCCGTGGAATATCGTTTTGGGAAAAATCGTACTAATGTTTAGGCCAATGTTGTTCACTAGCGGACTAACATAGGAACAGAAGGACGATCGTTTAAAAAAACACATTTACGGTGTCAGGGAACGTGTATTTTTATTAAAATATCGTAGTCGATTTTCCAGAGCTTTGTATAACTTTCTCTATACTATACATACGTATATACATACGTAAATGGGAAAGTAATAATGAGAGGACTAGTGTGTGCTTTGGAGTAGCTCTTTGAAAAAACACGTTCGTAAATGTTGATGACGTTTATTTTTTTCTGGCAAACGAAGTACTGCATATTGCTTACTCCTTGAATGTATGCAATAATGCAAAAAGTGTCGACCTTGCGCTCTCAATTCTGCGAACTCAATGCTCACGCCTTAACCCAATTTTGCTATAAAAAGGAAAACCTTTCCAGCGCGGACTAGGCGGATGTATTGCAAAAGCAGCTGACATTTACTGTCAATATTTCAGGGTAAAGAGGATCCTGTAAGATACTTCATTCACTCTCACTATTAGTGGGTTCGTACGTACAGCATAATATTCCTTCTTCATGTCAAATCACATTTTCTTATCAGAGAAAAGGGAAAGATGAAATACGACACTGTAACAATAAGTTCTATCATTGCATGAGCGAGATCTAAATGTTTTCTAATTTGAAAAGTTCTTCATTCTATTTTATTACCATTATTCTATTTTACTTCCTCGTGTATGTACAGAGAAATTATACGTAGTATACAAAAAGTTGTGTAATGCTACGGCAAAAAACAGCGACTTTTCGACCGAAAAACTCGTATTGTAGGGTCCTGATATGAAAGAAAGAGAACAAATCTGGTTTCAACATGTAAAAAATTACTCTAACATATTAAATAGTCATGTTTCATGAATTTTGGGTCCTTATAACCCAAAAAGTTATTAATGCTATTGAGCAGATTGATTCTTTTATTACTTAATTATTCTATTTTTTTAAATTTCTCTTTGCTATTTTAATTACTTTCATAATTGTAAGCAAGAGACGGAAATCAGCAAGTTTTCAAAAGAAGAACTCCTATTATCGGCCTCAAAAACGAAAAAGTGGATGATCCAGTTCCTACATACAGTAAATTGCTTCCTCTAGCACGTGGCGTATTCAGAAACCATGTTTTGTGGGTCTTTGATGCCGAAAAATCGATTGACGGAAAAACGTTTGCCTGGCTGTCCGTCCACCCGTTCGCCTGCGGTCAAGGCTAGCGCCTAAACGGTTCAGCGAATTTTCTCCAAAATGCGTCTCCAAAATGCGCTCCATCTAAGCAAACTCAAGATTTGGTAGTTTCCAATGAATATTGTTATTTTTGAGGGAACTTAACATGAAGTCTCGAAAACCTTTTCAAAATTTTCTCAAACTAGACTCGAATTTTTTATTCAACTTTGTCCTGAGAAAGAATAAATGACATAAGAGAATGATGCAGATTTCATGTTCGTTGAAATCCCAGATTTGCAATTATTGGAGGAGGGGCATCTTCCTTCATCTATAATCAATTAATTAATATATTTATTTATTTATTTATTTATTTATTTATTTATTTATTTATTTATTTATTTATTTATTTATTTATTGATCGTATGGGTTTCTTACAGGGAGACTGTCCTTAGGCAGTTGTTCCGCACCCGTACTTCGAGAGGACTTCCCCCAACTGGGTCAGGGGACCTTATCTGAGCGGGCGCATCGCGTGGGCAATGTCGCCTGCGATTTGACCCTCACTTTCTCCTCTGATACTCGGTACTCGGTTGGCCGGGATGAGCCGCATCTCAGTCAATAGAGTGGACGTTTCGGCCATCGTGTTGGAGCATTCGTCACAGCTACACTGAGCGGCTAGCGTTTGGCATTAATATAGAAGAGGGTGCATGCGCCGATTGGGATCTGGCCATGGGGTTTAAAGAAAGCCACCTCACGATGGCCGAAACGTCAGCTCGATCAATTGAGATGCGGCTCATCCCGGACAGCCGAGTATCCAATGACTCCGGCCGCGGAAGCCTACGAATCTATCTCATTTTCTCCGCCAGATGTCGGTCTCCGAACTGTCTGGTTGGGAGAAAGTGAGATCTCGTTAGGGCGAGATGTTGTCAGAGGGATTTAATTTTGCCGGGCATCCCGCCAGGGTTATTTTACATGCCACAAGAGTGACTTGGCTACTCTCGACTTTCCGCCTTTCGAAAATCCGCCCACTTGGCCAGGAAGCTAATCCCTCATCCATCGAGGCACGTTACACCTATAATAGTAAAGATAGAAACGTTTTCCTTAATGAATTCTGTTCTTTAAAAAAATATCTTGGAATAAGGTCACGTTTAATTTTTTGAACATATGAGTATTTTTCGTGTAATTTTGTGCGAATAAGGATAATTTTCATTTTTTACACATTTTCTTCTCAAAAATCGCCCCGAATTTGTTTAAAAAAATTCTCACCGCATGTATTAACGGACGGTTAAATATATAGGGCTAGTCCCATTTTCGATAAGCTCTCGGTATTTTCAAAAATTGCCAAAAATGCGTGTAGGAAACCTGTTGGTTTGAGACAATTTCATTTTTAATTGTCGGCCCCAGTTCGACAATATGGCGCTTCTGTAGCGTAGTGGTATGGGTAACGGCGAGTTATCTCGGAGGACCAAAATTCGAATCTCCGAGCGGAAAATAACTTTTGCTGGTTGAAAACACTTGCATGTGTATGTAGTAGGATAATATAGCGGATCACAAAGAAATAATGCGAGAAAGTAAGGGAAGCTGTAAAACCACTACTTTATAATTTTCACACGTACAAATACATATTAATCCTTCAAGGTCATTTTCTTTTCATAACTAAATGTTTGCGGAGTGTCTGAGTTATACAGTTAAAAAACAATACGTCGTCGTTGCGCCTGCAAAATTGACTGTGTGAGGTAGAAATAATTTACATAAAACGCTCAACATGTCCGCAAAAGGTACATGTCATGGGGTGGGGCCGCCAATCTGGCGAATATAACCGTCCAGACATCGCGACATGGAGTTGCACACATCTCAAATGGAGTCCTGTGATAGTCTATTCCATGAGACTTCCATTTTAGCGCTCAGTTGTTGATTGGTCGGTAGGGGCGTAGATTTGATCGCCAGATTTATTGCACCCCATTGTTGGTCGGAGAGGTTTGGTGATGAGCCTGGCCATGAAAGAGTATCCACGCCTACAAATCATGCTCTCGAAGTGGCAGCTAAACGAGGACAAGAGTTGTGTTGTTGAAATGCAGTGTTGACGTGTGTATTGAAGAATGTCAGAAGCAACAATTTCTCCAATTTCTGGACGTGCCGTGTGGCTTTCAGCGACTTTAGGCAAGTCTGATGAGATGCTATCAGGCTGCGTGAGCCAAGAACCCTGGCGGTCAGTGTACGGCAAGCCTTAAAACCGCTCCACAAAAGCTCGCGAACGGGTACGACAACGCGAACGGAAACGACCTCGCGAATGGCAACTCCGACGAGAACGGGAACGTGAATGGGAACGGCAAAGCGAACGGGAACGACCACGCGAACAACTCTGACGCGAACGGGTAGGTGAATGAAAACGGCAACGACCAAGCGCACGACAACACTGACTGGAACGGGGACTGAATGGGAACGGCAACGCGAACGGTAACGTAAAGAAAGTTCATAGACGGACGCCTCAGACAGGTGTTCACATCACGACACGAACGCGAAGCTTGACGGAACGGGAAGAATGATCAATATTTATCTTGGACCGGGGACAGGACCAATGGAAATGCAGCAAATTGCAGCGCAGTTTTCGAGCTAATTGAACTTTCGGCGTGTGCGTGACACTGGAGTGGAGCGGGGTTGATAGAGTATTGCGGTATTCATGTTTGAACGTTGATTTGCGAAGTTACGCTTTAAGACTTGTCTTAGTCATTTTTGAGGGGTTTCAGTTCCATAAAATAATTATAATTTAATTATTTTTCTATTAATATTAATACTTAGAATTAAAATTCCTCCATAAATTAATTTATATATCTTTCGCTTAGGAACTTTGGAGTTGTTCGTTTTTTGATAAAGTTTTAGTTAGTAGTATTTTTCGTTAGTTCATTCTAGTTTTTGCATTTTTTATTCTTATTGTTTTGTTTTTTAAAATTTATATTATTTCCATCAAATATTTATTATTCACAGCAGCACACTCAAACACAACACACAGATGACAAATCAAAAAATGAACAGGGCATCGTAGCTAGAAGTGCACTGATTTCAACTGTTTCTTGAAGTTCGGCTTTTTGCCGCTTCAGGTTCCTGGCGCTATTCCCCTTCCCGTTGGCGTTAATTGTGAAGCGCGCATAGCTCACGCTCCCGTCCTCGCCTTTGCGTAGCCGCTCCCGTTCACGGGCCATTGTGCGCGGCCTTTACGGCGAGCAACTCTCTGCAAATGGTTCTGGCATCAAAATGGAGAGGTCACATGGTACGAATGAATCACAACTGCGCACACGGCAACTCTCGGGAACTGATGAATGGACGAAAGACGACGAAGATGACCAAGAGCGAGTGGGGTGGAAGAGTTGAGGAAAACTTTCAGCGTATTGCTGTCCTGGAAACAACATGACCGAGAAGCCGGGAAGAGTCGAGTTCCGTGTGCTATATCAGTGCAATACGTGAGCAAAACACAGTGAGTGCAGTATTGTGAAGTCAAATTTATTTAACTTAAAAATTACGTGTGCATGTAGTGCAAATCAATTCTGATAATTTTTGTAGAGAAGAAACGGTACTAGTTCAGAATGTAGAGCTACCTTAAGAACCACTTGCCATTTGCAGAGGTCGGGGCCGATTCTCATAGTAGTATATTTCAATCTAATTTTCTCTCTGGCTTTATAACCGTCGTGTATTTGGCCTATCAACCGTGTACTTGAAGCATGGGCAAGTATGGGTAATGAAGTTTTCATGGAGATGCGTCATTGGTATCAAGATGAGAGATCAACCCATTGCTTGGTACTATCAAAGATAATGGGACAGAAACTTGAAGGTAAGATCGCACTCTATTCGTAGCCCTTTGATTACGTAACTGGTTCGGTGCCACGCTGATATTCATGAGCAAACCGAAGCAAACTCAGCAAACAGAAACGACCGATCAAATTAACCGACCATTTAAATTGTCTTGTCGAAAATTCCTTATGACGTCGTGATTCGAACTTATTACATTCGCGTCTACGACGCTTTAGCTGGAGACAACATAAATTCTCGGTATATGACTTCTGGTAAATTCATTACATTCTGTAAATAGAATTGGAATGAGCGCCAAAACGTGTCTTAGGCTCCGAGATCTTTAAATACGGGTCTGACAAATAATATGCAAATGTTATTTCACTGCTCCTTTACCTGATTAAGCTAATGATGAAAATTATGATTATGATCAGCGCTCGGATTCTGCTGACCTAGAAATTCTTTGAAAATGACCGATACAATGACTTAAAACAAGGGGAAGATACCTTTTTTAATCCTCCAAAATTTGTATGAAAATGTTTATTGAGTGAATTTTACAATTTTAAATAAAGTGTATTGATATCATATTATACTTGAGAGGGGGAAATGTAAACCTTAACTTCGATCAGCAGCCTGTCAGTTTTAAAAGATCGAGGAAGTTACCGTGTAGTATTGAGAGTTCGAAAAAATAGAGTCCATTGCAGTAGAGAATTTCATCATGACCTGATGATATAATAATAACTTTTATTTAGTGTGTCATTATAAATTCATGAAACACACACATTCATGAAAAATTACGCAAAGGTTAAAAGAAATGATCTAAAATTGAAAAATGGCACAAATGACTCAATAACTATATATTTCTATCGCCTATATGTCGTGATAAACATTCATTTGCAAGTTAGCTACGTCCAGAATGCACCTATGAAAAGATGACATGTCATGAGAATGCTAGCTCTGATTATGATTATGATGATGATGATGATGATGGCGAATGAAAAATTCATTTCTGGACAGTATGCGAGGAAACTTCACGTGTGTATGCCCTCTCTTTTCCTGGGCAGGTTATCACAGTGATTATCATTGCCACCTATTGTACTAAAAAGGATTGAAAAGTGACCATTAAGTGTGAATGCCGATGAGAGATGACTATAGAAGAGAGGATATTCGAAGGCGAAATATGATTATAAGAGAAACATGATTGATTAATAAATTAATTAAATAATATTGCTCGTAAACAATGGTCATTAAGGGCTTGTAAGTGTAGTTCTCGCTTCTGTCACGAGAGGCGACGGTGATGTTTCCTTGTTGGATGGTGAGATCGCGCGGCGACCCATACGTCGCTGCCTTACTGTATTTGCCCAACTGGTATCTCCCACCAGCAGAGCATCGCTCCAACCGGTACAAGCTCTTACGTTCCCAACTGGTCCCCCGTCATGTGGTATTGTAGTGCGTGTAAGTGAAAACGTGTGTAAATAATGGATGAGATCGGTCAAGGAAGAGGAAGGAAAGATCGCGCGCGGTCCTTGGCCCGTTTGTTGGGGTACTGCTCTGGCCTTCGCCTATTATTGATCGAAGTAACCACGGAGAACTACCCATCAGAGCAGGCGGCTGCTAGAATCCGCGAAGCCAACCACGCCTCATCCATGCTTATCCCCATTCACGTACTTCGTTGAATTTCGCAGGATTCGATCCCTGAGCTTTCGCCCCGCGTGCGTGGGCACTTCTGCGAGCGGCTCCCTGCGTGGGCCGGCGTCCTGCATCCGTCCTAAGCGAATCAAGGGCGCCGTGTCGGTGCACCGCAGACGGACGAATGGCGCGCGATTGCGTTACCTGCGATGAGCCGCGCGCGTTGTGGTTATTCCGGCGCCCTCGCATGCTGCCCTGGGCCCGGGCAGATTCGATCACTGCGCGCACGTGCCCGGCCTCGCCTCCGCGGCAGCCCCTCGCCGACTGCGGAGAGCACGAGAGGGAGGCAGCGACCGCAGAAGCGTCCGGCGGCACTTGTGAGCTCGCGCCCCCGCCCCCGCAAACCCACTTCCTCTGTTTGGAGACGCCCCTCGCCGCGGACGAGTCTCGGGAAAGGGAATGACATTTGATGCTTCGGAAGCTGAAGTTTAATCCTTTGCACCCTACGCAGTTCTGGATACATATTGATCTCTACGACGTTAAACGATCCACAAACATCACGAAATAGACTGAACGTTGAGTTAAAATTTCGAGTTAGAGGCCATCCATAAATTACGTAAAGCAAATTTCGAGTATTTTGGATTCCCCCTCTCCCAATGTAACGCACCCTTAACCCACGCTTGAACCCCCCTAAATAATTATGTAACGCTTCCAACACCCCCCCCCCCTTGTAAATGCAAGGAGTGAAAATAAACTAAAGCACAGTAAAAACAATTTGTATTCATTTTACTTGTTTTGTGTATTAAAATTTACGATAATTAAAGTCGAAATTATCGAATGCAACACATAAAAGATTAATGTCAAGTTAAAAGTGAAGGAAGGACGCATACGTGAGGAAATAAGTTATCACAAGCCGTGCAAACGCCATCATGGAGGACGCATGGGCTATTTTAAGTGAATTCTAGAATCAACTACATATCAGTTATGAATATTTCCTTCTCAATCTTACATACTCAATAAAAAATGAATGAAAATATTACCATTTATTGTTTAATTAACAATTTTCAATAATAACTTTAATGTATTTAGTATGTTTTCAAAACAAATTATTTGGTTAATAACTTAATGTTTTAGTATAATTTAAAAAAAGGAATTATTTCAACAAAGATTGAAAAAGTTTATTTTTTCCCGATTTTTACTATAACTAAAATATTGATGTCAGAGAATATTTCGTTATAAATTCGATCTTTACATTATTAGGTTATGTAATTTTTTTTCAAAATATGAGTAATCATTGTTTTCGCGTATTTGTGCATGAAATTAAAAGATAATTTTAAAACGTTTGTCCCTAAAACGGCTTCAATTTTTTTCTTCATTTTTTCTATAACAGTGCGCTTATAAAAAATGGTGCTGGTGCGATTTTCTTTGGACTTTCTAAATGTTTGAAAATTGCAAAAGTTCCAAATAATGAAAGAAATTATGTGTTGTTGTATCTCGATTATTTTGACAATGCTTTTTGATTATTAACTGTTAAAATAATCGTGAATAATACAATTTTAAAATCTACATTTTTGAATTTTTTAAAATAAATCTTAAAACCGGATTTAGGAGCAATAATTACAGTTATTAAACACTAACTATCATGTCAGCCATCATGGCATTTTCTGAAGAATCTCTTTCCCACTTCCTTCAAGCTTTAGTGAAACCTTTCTCCCTCTTTATCTTCTAGGTAATCTAAGTTTTCTGAAACTATTCAAGATGAAACAGGAAATGTAACTGTAAACGCATTGCTTGCGAGTGCTTTTAACTTTTTGGGCGTTCACCTTTTTTACTGCTCATGTTATCCGTATTTAACATCTTCCAGAAACGTATTGATCATATCTTCAAATGGGTTCCATGTCCAAGTTGAAAATTAGTCCTAGTACTTTGAAAGGAAGGTAATCAGTTGTTGGATCTCTGGACTATCATAAAATTCTACCCTCACTTTTGTGTTCATAACAATGCGAATTTCCGGATACGGTTGAGTTTAAAAAACACTTTTGTGTAAAATGGTAGATATAGCTGCACCCTTAACATACTATACTTCATTATTTATTTATTGTTATTTATGTTACTTAATACTACTCGCACAAGTTTTTATATTGTCAAGATCCCGTTGATAAGCACTTGTTTAAGTTGATGGTATTAGTTAGCTAGATGAATGGTTGTGTAAAAGCAAAACACGTTTGAATCAAAAGTGTACTCGTATTTTGCTTGCGTTGTTGTGTTGAATTCATAATTTGTCGCGCGCTTCCAAAAGAATTTGAGTGTCCGCGTTCCTGTCTCCGTTAGTTGGTGTGTCTTACATCACTTAATTTGCATATACGTCCATAATTTCCACTTATTGGAGTACTCTCTATAACAGTTCACATTTTTATTCAGAATTACTTAAATCATCGTCGGCCACATCAATTCCCTTGAAGGTTATATAAATAATTCCAGCAAACCTCCACCCTCCTTACATTACATTACGGTTTCATCTCCATTTTATAATTTCATATCTTTTCAATTATTTTTTTGAAATCATTTGTGCATTTCTTGCCGCCGATCTCAATTGCCGATTCGTTTTTCAATTATGTTTTGTCTAAAAATGCTTTAATATTTATGTTGTTTGGAGCAGGTAGATCTTTCTGAGTAACAATATTTAAAATCTCCTCTTAAAGGGGGATTTATCAATTTATCATTCCGATACTCAGTATTTTCTTGTCAGTCACCGTGTAAATTGACAATGTTCCTCGTTAGGGCATCGGATCATCAGTCAGTTCTTGCCACACCATCTCGGGGACACCGAACAAGCGACACGCGGTCTGTCATTTCACCATCGCCTTGGTAAAAGGGCCTCGAGGACTTTCACGGCAAAGAGCGAGAAGAGAACCATTCGGCCTCCTAGAAAATGTAATTTTAACCAGTCGCCTTTTCAACAGTTCAAGCAGTAATATATCGTTGTAAAAACGATTTAGAAAATCAATACCAAAAAAAACAAGCCAGAATAAAGAATTACAGCGCATGAATTAATCGACATCTTAATATTTATAATATATATTTTTTAAATAATAGAATTATGGCAAATATATGCGTGCTGCAGATAAACTAATATATTTAAGTAAAGACATTTGATTAATTGGATTGTTGGTGAAGTAGATACCTTTTTATTATGATAAATAAATAAAGATATTGTCAGGTATCAATATTTTAATTCAACTTATGATCATTTCGATCTTTCAGAACTTTGTTTTCGGCCCAGAAGCTGCAAGCTCTGAGGATGATCGCTACGCGATCGAAATGATCATAAGTTGAATTAAAATATTGATACCTGACAATATCTTTATTTATTTATCATAAAGACATTTGAGCTATAAACAAAAAAAAAATTCA